TATCACAGCTTACTAGCCCCTATTCTGTTATCACAGCTTACTAGTCCTTATTCCGTTATCACAGTCTACTAGCCCCTATTCCGTTATCACAGCCTACTAGCCCCTATTCCGTTATCACAGCTTACTAGCCCCTATTCTGTTATCACAGCCTACTAGCCCCTATTCCGTTATCACAGCTTACTAGCCCCTATTCCGTTATCACAGCTTACTAGCCCCTATTCTGTTATCACAGCTTACTAGCCCCTATTCCGTTATCACAGCCTACTAGCCCCTATTCCGTTATCACAGCCTACTAGCCCCTATTCCCTCACATGTAGGCGTAGGGAGTTTGTCTCTGTGATCAAGACGCTGAAGACATGATATCGATGCATTTCCCTGAAACGGAACTTGATATCAACATGAGATATGATGGCGTCTATCGTAGTGATTATAATGCTAATCCACTCATGGCTTTGGGAACGTTTTCTTGCACCTGATGACGCTGTTCAGACGGGAGTAAACTATATAGATATCCCCCTAGAGCTAGATAACTGTTGTGGGTGGCATCCTGGGTCTGTCGATGGTCTAATATCTTCCCTGTACGCCACTATATTAATTAATACTATAACCCTATTCATCACTACATTAACCTTAGGAACCTTTCCTCCAAGGAAAGTCTACATTTTTTGACGAATAATATTGTAGGTGGTTAGATATAGAAGAGATTATTCTAAGCCAAGCTAACCCAACCTAATCTAACCCAACAAAACCTAACTTAACCAAACTTAATCTAACCAAACGTTATCTAACCAAACCCCAACTTAATCTAATAACCTAATCTAACTTAACCAAACTTAATCTAACCAAACCTAATCTAACTTACCCAGCCTAACATTTATTAGTCCTAGGAGCACCGTCTGCGGCCTTACCGTTAAAATCTAGAACTTGAAGCCACTCCTAGTACTTGTAACACCACTATAATGTATACTAAACTAATAATAAAACACTACTACTTATCCTGAGTAACACTTCCTATCGGTTGCACTTGGTAACACTGTTATTGAACACTGTAATATGAGCTGACATATGATGGTTACACCGGAACCAAAAGGTACACTGCCAACAAGGAAATGCTACACAGGATTAAAAAACGCTGCCACCATCTGCCTTTGACCATTGAGACTATATCAAGCAACGAGGCAAGAAACATTGCTTGACTTGGAGAGTACTTTCTATGACTGTCATTAATTATGAAAACGGTTGTCAGCCACTATATCCAAAAGGCTAAGAGGATTCAACAATTGACACAGACGGGAAATTTAACATGAGTTTATTGAGACCAAAATTATGCTAATCACCACTTATAAATCCTACTCTAACACTGGCCAAGAGTTAAGAAATTTAGACATGGAACAAAACCTCAGAGATCACACATTACCTTAAGACCTCTGTCTCTCCCTCCGGTGGATTAACTCTGTCACTCCCGGGCTGTGCGATGTTCTCCACAGCCCTCTCTGGACCCTGGTGTCCGGCACTCTGTCCCTAAGTCTCTACAGGACCAATATATATACAACCCCCTCCCCAAAAAAAAAGGTGGGTAAGGGGGAGATTTGCTGTTGCTACCTACACCAAAAATGCAAGGGGGTCGGGCCACACGTGCACAAACACTTAAGAATTTTCAATTAAGCTTGTTTGACATTCACCATACACTCTTCAAGAGAGGAGTTATTAATTACGTGTGTGACTGACCTTTGACCTGGCTAAAAGGGGGAGATCCATGGATGTTTACACATAAGAATCTGGGGTCTAATTCCATTGCAATGTTTGACAAGAGTATCATGAAATATTACATACTTGAAACTAGCTGACTAAGACTAACCCAGGAATTTTTTAATCAACATACAAGATAATCCGGAGGTCATCTGGGCTGACCTCTTGGAGAAGGCTTCCCTGGGTGTGAACTCTAAGGGGGGGGGGGGGGTCATGGGTGTTACACGTGGGTTTTTTTTTTTTGGGGGGGGGGGAAGAGAGAGGGGAAATGGCCAATATTTGGCTACATATATGTATGTATATATGGCTATATAGTATATATATAGCTACATGTAGATGAAGAGTCACAATAACGTTACTGATGATATGATGAGCAAACCAGTCATCAGATAATGAGCAGACGACGACGTTTCGGTCCGTCCTGGACCAAAATAAACAAAAAACGACTTGATAATGATCCAAGTTGGACCGAATCGTCGTCATCATCTCCTGCTCATCACCTGGTGTGTGTGTGTGATGAGCTCACCCTAACCACTGGCGTAAACACCCGTCATTCATCTCCTTGTAAACAATTACAAAACTGTCCCCCGGATGCAGTAAACAAGATTTTCAGGGGAAGTTTCACCTTCGTGTTTGTTATTAAGGCGTTCTTCTCCTAGTTCATCTTCGCCCAGTAACAGGTGTTTAGAACGGGTGTTGACGGCAGGTGTTGACGGCAGGTGTTTATCTGGAGGAAAGTTCGCGGGTGTTACTAAGAGTTAAATATGGTCCCGCACTTTGGATTGTTGGTAGACCCGCACTTTGGATTATTGGCAGACCCGCACTTTGGATTATTGGCAGACCCGCACTTTGGATTATTGGCAGACCTGCACTTTGGATTATTGGCAGACCCGCACTTTGGATTATTGGCAGACCCGCACTTTGGATTATTGGCAGACCTGCACTTTGGATTATTGGCAGACCTGCACTTTGGATTATTGGCAGACCCGCACTTTGGATTATTGGCAGACCCGCACTTTGGATTATTGGCAGACCCGCACTTTGGATTATTGGCAGACCCGCACTTTGGATTATTGGCAGACCCGCACTTTGGATTATTGGCAGACCTGCACTTTGGATTATTGGCAGACCTGCACTTTGGATTATTGGCAGACCTGCACTTTGGATTATTGGCAGACCTGCACTTTGGATTATTGGCAGACCTGCACTTTGGATTGTTGGCAGACCTGCACTTTGGATTATTGGCAGACCCGCACTTTGGATTATTGGCAGACCTGCACTTTGGATTATTGGCAGACCTGCACTTTGGATTATTGGCAGACCCGCACTTTGGATTATTGGCAGACCTGCACTTTGGATTATTGGTAGACTCGTCGCCTGTAGTATTGACAGGACCTAGTTGCGTGCAGTACTCATCACCCTCATCATCACTATTCATGTTATTCACCCTATTTATATGAGTTGCGGAAAAGTTGATGAATAGTGCAGTGGCTATTGTGGCTGGTGGAGTGCCGATAACTATTGTGGCTGGTGGAGTGCCGATAACTATTGTGGCTGGTGGAGTGCCGATAACTATTGTGGCTGGTGGAGTGCCGATAACTATTGTGGCTGGTGGAGTGCCGATAACTATTGTGGCTGGTGGAGTGCCGATAACTATTGTGGCTGGTGGAGTGCCGATAACTATTGTGGCTGGTGGAGTGCCGATAACTATTGTGGCTGGTGGAGTGCCGATAACTATTGTGGCTGGTGGAGTGCCGATAACTATTGTGGCTGGTGGAGTGCCGATAACTATTGTGGCTGGTGGAGTGCCGATAACTTTAAATACAAAATATGTAAAACGAAGTAAATAAAGCTGCTTCTGACCTCTTTGCGCTGCGGGATAAAGTACAAAGAATGAAAAACTTTAAATATTTACATAAAAAATGACTTCAACAAAGAAAACAAACCCTCTATGATACTTTATGACGTTATACTTTGACGTTACACACAACAAAAATGCAAGAGAAACGAACAAGTAACAGTTACGTTAATATTAAAGAAAAGCTGCAAAAAATATATATGCAATAGGAGCTAGAGACTACCGACACCCAGGAGAGTGAGAGTAGATCATGCAGCTGGGAGCACTGTATACAATAGCAGCTAGAGGCTACCGACACCCAGGAGAGTGAGAGTAGATCATGCAGCTGGGAGCACTGTATACAATAGCAGCTAGAGGCTACCGACACCCAGGAGAGTGAGAGTAGATCTTGCAGCTGGGAGCACTGTATACAATAGCAGCTAGAGGCTACCGACACCCAGGAGAGTGAGAGTAGATCATGCAGCTGGGAGAACTGTATACAATAGCAGCTAGAGACTACCGACACCCAGGAGAGTGAGAGTAGATCATGCAGCTGGGAGCACTGTATACAATAGCAGCTAGAGGCTACCGACACCCAGGAGAGTGAGAGTAGATCATGCAGCTGGGAGCACTGTATACAATAGCAGCTAGAGACTACCGACACCCAGGAGAGTGAGAGTAGATCATGCAGCTGGGAGCACTGTATACAATAGGAGCTAGAGACTACCGACACCCAGGAGAGTGAGAGTAGATCATGCAGCTGGGAGCACTGTATACAATAGGAGCTAGAGGCTACCGACACCCAGGAGAGTGAGAGTAGATCTTGCAGCTGGGAGCACTGTATACAATAGGAGCTAGAGGCTACCGACACCCAGGAGAGTGAGAGTAGATCATGCAGCTGGGAGCACTGTATACAATAGCAGCTAGAGGCTACCGACACCCAGGAGAGTGAGAGTAGATCATGCAGCTGGGAGCACTGTATACAATAGCAGCTAGAGGCTACCGACACCCAGGAGAGTGAGAGTAGATCTTGCAGCTGGGAGCACTGTATACAATAGCAGCTAGAGACTACCGACACCCAGGAGAGTGAGAGTAGATCTTGCAGCTGGGAGCACTGAAGAATATTCCGAGGTCTAGCTGTTCCTGTTGTTGCTATAGATTCAGCTACTCGGAATAAGTTCCAAGTAGCACAGGCTATGGTGAGCCCGTAGCTTACCTGGCACAGGAGCGGTGCTGAGGTGGTGAGCTGCTTATATACACGGCCGAGTTCGTATAGGTGGCGCTGAAGTGCAGGTAATTGCCGGCCGGGAGTCTCAAACGAGCAGCAGGCCAGTTGACCGGCGAGTGGAGCTTGGCCGCCAGACAGCAGGTGTGCAGGTGTGTGGGGTACTTGACGGGGGAGAGTGGTGGCAGTGGTGTCTGTCTAGACACGGCTTCTGAGCACGTATTACTGTTGTTCTTGATGTTAATTTCTTACACTTGAGTATGCAGATATGTTGTTCAATAGGCGGTAAAGGAAGAGGCAGAATCTCCTTAGATTGTTTCCGTAAGCAAGGGAGGTCTGTAACGTTAGTTTCGCCTTCTTTCTACATACCTTCTATGTTCTGCTTCTCTCACTTCCAGCTCCTTGTTCTAGTATCCCAGCTCCTTGTCCTCATATCCATATCCCGTAGTGTTGGTTGAGTTGCCATGTCCCGTAGTGTTGGTTGAGTTGCCATGTCCCGTAGTGTTGGTTGAGTTGCCATGTCCCGTAGTGTTGGTTGAGTTGCCATGTCCCGTAGTGTTGGTTGAGTTGCCATGTCCCGTAGTGTTGGTTGAGTTGCCATGTCCCGTAGTGTTGTCTGAGTTGCCATGTCCCGTAGTGTTGGTTGAGTTGCCATGTCCCGTAGTGTTGGTTGAGTTGCCATGTCCCGTAGTGTTGGTTGAGTTGCCATGTCCCGTGGTGGTTGAGTTGCCATGTCCCGTAGAGTTGGTTGAGTTGCCATGTCCCGTAGTGTTGGTTGAGTTGCCATGTCCCGTTTTGGTGTTTGAGTTGCCATGTTGCCATATATCGCCTCGTTAAGTCTGGAGTCACTGGGAGTCGTTTCTATTTTTCGTGTTGTTGTTTTTGAGCGAATTGGGTGTTTATGGGTCGTTAAGGCGGGGTTGTCTTTGTGGCGCGGTTATCCTGGTGTGGTGCGGTTATCCTGGTGTGGCGCGGTTATCCTGGTGTGGTGCGGTTATCCTGGTGTGGGGCGGTTATCCTGGTGTGGGGCGGTTATCCTGGTGTGGCGCGGTTATCCTGGTGTGGTGCGGTTATCCTGGTGTGGCGCGGTTATCCTGGTGTGGGGCGGTTATCCTGGTGTGGGGCGGTTATCCTGGTGTGGCGCGGTTATCCTGGTGTGGCGCGGTTATCCTGGTGTGGGGCGGTTATCCTGGTGTGGTGCGGTTATCCTGGTGTGGTGCGGTTATCCTGGTGTGGTGCGGTTATCCTGGTGTGGTGCGGTTATCCTGGTGTGGGGCGGTTATCCTGGTGCGGTTATCCTAGTGCGGTTATCCTGGTGCGGTTATCCTGGTGTGGTGCGGTTATCCTGGTGCGGTTATCCTGGTGTGGTTATCCTGGTGCGGTTATCCTGGTGTAGTGCGGTTATCCTGGTGTGGTTATCCTGGTGCGGTTATCCTGGTGTGGTGCGGTTATCCTGGTGTGGTGCGGTTATCCTGGTGTGGGGCGGTTATCCTGGTGTGGTGCGGTTATCCTGGTGTAGGGCGGTTATCCTGGTGTGGTGCGGTTATCCTGGTGTGGGGCGGTTATCCTGGTGTGGTGCGGTTATCCTGGTGTGGTGCGGTTATCCTGGTGTGGGGCGGTTATCCTGGTGTGGTGCGGTTATCCTGGTGTGGGGCGGTTATCCTGGTGTGGTGCGGTTATCCTGGTGTGGTGCTGTTATCCTGGTGTGGCGCGGTTATCCTGGTGTGATGCGGGTATCCTGGTGTGGTGCTGTTATCCTGGTGTGGCGCGGTTATCCTGGTGTGGTGCGGGTATCCTGGTGTGGTGCTGTTATCCTGGTGTGGCGCGGTTATCCTGGTGTGGCGCGGTTATCCTGGTGTAGGGCGGTTATCCTGGTGTGATGCGGTTATCCTGGTGTGGGGCGGTTATCCTGGTGTGGCGCGGTTATCCTGGTGTGGGGCGGTTATCCTGGTGTGGCGCGGTTATCTTGGTGTGGCGCGGTTATCCTGGTGTGATGCGGGTATCCTGGTGTGGTGCTGTTATCCTGGTGTGGCGCGGTTATCCTGGTGTGGGGCGGTTATCCTGGTGTGGCGCGGTTATCCTGGTGTGGCGCGGTTATCCTGGTGTGGTGCGGTTATCCTGGTGTGGGGCGGTTATCCTGGTGTGATGCGGTTATCCTGGTGTGGGACGGTTATCCTGGTGTGGCGCGGTTATCCTGGTGTGGGGCGGTTATCCTGGTATGGCGCGGTTATCCTGGTGTGGCGCGGTTATCCTGGTGTGGTGCGGGTATCCTGGTGTGGTGCTGTTATCCTGGTGTGGCGCGGTTATCCTGGTGTGGGGCGGTTATCCTGGTGTGGCGCGGTTATCCTGGTGTGGCGCGGTTATCCTGGTGTGGCGCGGTTATCCTGGTGTGGGGCGGTTATCCTGGTGTAATGCAGTTATCCTGGTGTGGGGCGGTTATCCTTGTGTGGGGCGGTTATCCTGGTGTGGCGCGGTTATCCTGGTGTGGCGCGGTTATCCTGGTGTGGCGCGGTTATCCTGGTGTGGCGCGGTTATCCTGGTGTGGTGCGGTTATCCTGGTGTGGCGCGGTTATCCTGGTGTGGGGCGGTTATCCTGGTGTGGTGTGGTTATCCTGGTGTGGCGCGGTAATCCTGGTGTGGTGCTGTTATCCTGGTGTGGTGCTGTTATCCTGGTGTGGCGCAGTTATCCTGGTGTGATGCGGTTATCCTGGTGTGGTGCGGTTATCCTGGTGTGGTGCGGTTATCCTGGTGTGGTGTGGTTATCCTGGTGTGGCGCGGTTATCCTGGTGTGGCGCGGTTATCCTGGTGTGGGGCGGTTATCCTGGTGTAGCGCGGTTATCCTGGTGTGGTGTGGTTATCCTGGTGTGGCGCGGTTATCCTGGTGTGGGGCGGTTATCCTGGTGTAGCGCGGTTATCCTGGTGTGGTGTGGTTATCCTGGTGTGGCGCGGTTATCCTGGTGTGGCGCGGTTATCCTGGTGTTGGGCGGTTATCCTGGTGTGGTGCGGTTATCCTGGTGTGGTGTGGTTATCCTGGTGTGGTGCGGTTATCCTCGTGTGAGGCGGTTATCCTGGTGTGGCGCGGTTATCCTGGTGTGGTGTGGTTATCCTTGTGTGGCGCGGTTATCCTGGTGTGATGCGGGTATCCTGGTGTGGTGCGGTTATCCTGGTGTGGCGCGGTTATCCTGGTGTGGTGTGGTTATCCTGGTGTGGCACGGTAATCCTGGTGTGGTGCTGTTATTCTGGTGTTGTGCAGTTATCCTGGTGTTGTGCAGTTATCCTGGTGTTGTGCGGTTATCCTGGTGTGGTGCAGTTATCCTGGTGTGGCGCAGTTATCCTGGTGTGGCGCGGTTATCCTGGTGTGGCGCGGTTATCCTGGTGTGGCGCGGTTATCCTGGTGTGGCGCGGTTATCCTGGTGTGGCGCGGTTATCCTGGTGTGGCGCAGTTATCCTGGTGTGGCGCGGTTATCCTGGTGTGGCGCAGTTATCCTGGTGTGGCGCAGTTATCCTGGTGTGGCGCAGTTATCCTGGTGTGGCGCAGTTATCCTGGTGTGGCGCAGTTATCCTGGTGTGGCGCGGTTATCCTGGTGTGGCGCGGTTATCCTGGTGTGGCGCGGTTATCCTGGTGTGGCGCGGTTATCCTGGTGTGGGGCGGTTATCCTGGTGTGGTGCGGCTATCCTGGTATGGCCCAGGGTATCCAACAATTACAACACTGTTCTTGGCCTTGCAACACATGCAACATATGCAATACACGAAACGTTTGTCTCCTTTCATTTCCTCAATTGAGTTTTTCTTGTTGCAATTAGTCATTAACTAGACTGGAGTTGACAAGGCGTAAAATTGCAAGAGAGGGCGAAGCCTTGCAAGCATGCAACCTGAGCACAGATATGGCACCTCCACACAGGCCAGGAGCTAGAATTCAACCGTCTGTTGCAGCCACCTGATGCCCCACTGAAGGTTATCTTGAGGTTATCTTGAGATGATTTCGGGGCTTAGCCCATATCTTATATCCCGGCTCTTAGTGTCCCATATCCCAGCTCTTAGTCTATCTCATATCCCAGCTCTTAGTCTATCTCATATTCCTAGCTCTTAGTCTCTCATATCCCAGCTCTGGTGTCTCTCTCTTATCCCAGCTCTTAGTCTCTCATATCCCAGCTCTTAGTCTCTCACATATCCCAGCTCTATGCATATCTCATATCCCAGCTCTTAGTCTATATCATATTCCCAGCTCTTAGTCTATCTCTTATCCCAGCTCTTAGTCTATCTCTCCCAGCTCTTAGTGTCATATCCCAGCTCTTAGTCTATCTCTCCCAGCTCTTAGTGTCATATCCCAGCTCTTAGTCTATCTCTCCCAGCTCTTAGTGTCATATCCCAGCTCTTAGTCTATCTCTCCCAGCTCTTAGTGTCATATCCCAGCTCTTAGTCTATCTCTCCCAGCTCTTAGTGTCATATCCCAGCTCTTAGTCTATCTCTCCCAGCTCTTAGTGTCATATCCCAGCTCTTAGTCTATATCATATTCCCAGCTCTTAGTCTATCTCTTATCCCAGCTCTTAGTCTATCTCTCCCAGCTCTTAGTGTCATATCCCAGCTCTTAGTCTATCTCATATCCCTTCCCAAGACCATAAAGGCCATTTCACTCCTTACTATCTTTCCCCACCTTGCTTTTTTGACCGTTATAAAAGGTCATTAACGCCGTGGATGACTGTAGTGCAGCTGACCGAGTCATTAGCATGCACGATAGCACCAAGCTAACTTTCACACTTAAATATTATGGTGGAGTATTGGTCTGTTGATCGGTGTTGCAGCGTGTTGCAGCAGGTTCGACCCCCCCCCTGGACTGGACTAGTTATGACACCTGCTCCAATATTCCTGATCATTGTCTGTATATGTATTTTGAATAATATATGTTTTACGATGGGACCGAATTGGCTCCTCTGGACGGGGGGGTCTTTTTTATCCTATTACTAGATGATAATATTATAATACTATTATATGATAATATAATATTATAATCTTATATTATATATATATTATTATGTAAATAATATTATAATATATAGTAATATACTGTATATAACCTTATTTTATAATATCCTAATATACTAATATAATATTATATTAAAATATTATAATATGATATTATTAAGTATTATTATGGATATAATAACCTTATCTAATAATAAGAATCCAGGAATATCTAAAATCTAGATATTGAGAATCTAGATTCTAGATATTCCTTTCTAGAGGGACTTCAACACGCTCCTTTAGCCCAAGGAGATTGTTGTGTCAGCGAGTGTGCAAGGGGCACTGAGTACACATGCGAATTACCAGGACGAGGCGTAAATTAATTCTGTGTACAAACTGTCTGATTCGTGAGTATTTGTTCAACTGTAATGGCGCGGTGTACACACAGCTTCGTGTGTACCATGGCACGTACACAGCTTCATGTGTACCATAGCACGTACATATACCGTGTGCAACTTCGCTAATGTGGTGTCAACACCATAGGGCGGAGGAGTACGTAAACTTTCTGGTGCTTTAGTGAAACAAAAATCACTCTGATTATAACCCTTCTGGGGTTTGGGCATGCATAGGCTAAGCAGGAAGCTTATAATTGCCTAAGTTGTTTATATACGCTTTAAGTTAGGCAAGACCACTTGAGACTCGAGGCTAGTGTGGTGATAGACTCCGATCTATCGTCCCAGAGGAAAGATTAGAGACTTCGATCTATTGCCCCAGAGAAAAGATTAGAGACTTTGATCTATTGCCCCAGAGAAAAGATTAGAGACTTCGATCTATTGCCCCAGAGAAAAGAT